CGGGAGCTCCCCCAGTGCCACCCCCCTGCCCAAGCAGGCTCACCCAGAGCAGGGGGCACAGGACAGCGTCCAGGCGGGGGTTGAAGATCTCCAGAGAAGGAGACTCCACAGCCCCCCTGGGCAGCCTGGGCCAGGGCTCGGGCACCCTCCAAGTCAACAAGTTCTTCCTCCTGTCCAACTGGAAGCTCTTGTGCTTCAGTTTGTGCCCATGGCCCCTTGTCCTGGCGCTGGGCACCACGGAGAAGAGTCTGGCCCTTCTCCACCAGCCCATGAAAATCAACCAAGTCGCGATGCAAAGTCACATGCATAAAGAAAAGCCAATTTGGGTCCATTGCCCAACCAACAAACAGCATGGAGGCAATTTTTCTGCAGTGGCTGTATCTCATTATTTATTCTCCACATCACGGTGCTCATCCCAGGACGCAATCCAGCTTCCCTGTGCCAGGAATCGGATTAAATCTCTCTTTAGCAGGGGACGCGAGTGCTGGTGGACCAGAAATGCCAGCACGGCTGCCAGCCGCGGGGGACCCAGCTGCAGTTCACTGCTTTGCCGAGCCCTGCAGGTGTTTTTAAAGCACTGGGGGGGGGGGGGGGGGGGGGAAATGTTGAGAAGCTACAATCTGTTCGTCAGGCAGCTTAGAGTTAATTCTCCTGTGCTGGTAGCTTCATCAATTTGGTTGTTAAAATCAGGCTCTTGGGTTTCTCGGTGTGTAATGGCTGGGTGCACATTTTGAGTGCCAGGGTGTGCTTATTCCCCACCACCACCACCACCAATTCTTTGAAAATAAGCTTTTCTTGTTAAGAAATGGAAGCGCAAAAGATTGCCTTTAAAAAAAAAACCTCCTTTGAATGTGCCGCGCTCAGAAGATGGCATCTTTGGGGGTCGCTGTATCGTCTACTCTTACTCTGAGATGCAGGGAAGTTTGAAGGCCCGGTTATTAAAGAAGTCTTTCCACTATTAAACCGGAGCCAGGCGAGCAAGTGTATAGAATCATAGAATTGTTGAGGTTGGAAAAGCCCTTTCAGATCACCAAGCCCAACCGTTCCCCTAACCCTGCCATCCCACCACTAAACCCTGGCCCTAAGCACCTCATCTACCCTTCTTTTAAATCCCCCCAGAGATGAGGACTCCATCCCTCCCCCGGGCAGCCCCTTCCAGTGCCTGACAGCCCTTGCGGGGAAGGAATTTTTCCTAATGTCTAACCTAAACCATATCTTCGCAACAATCTCTTTTAGCTTCTATTGAGTTTTCACCCTTCCATAGCTTCAGCTAAACGGGAGGTATCTGCCATTCCCAGCCTTACGAGAGGGTGTTTGTGAGTCTCTCCCTCTCTGCCCCCATCTCGTGGCTCTTTACTGGGACTCACTTCCAACGAACACGTTGCTGGCAACGCGATGGCGGGCGGGATTTGCTTCTCTCTTCTGCTCCACTGTGTTTTCTCTGCCTTCGACTAATTAAAAATGTAAACGCAATTCTTTGAAATACAGGAAAATTAATCTGCAGGTCTTGTCTCCTGGCTACTGGCTGGAGCCGTACGGATACCGGGAGCTGTCATGACGGCGATGATTTGGTGGGATTTGGGGAGCAAGGGCCGTGGCAGCTCCAGCTGCAGCAGCCTTCCCGCAATGGCGTTCTTCTCCAGGCAGTGCCGCCCCAGGCTCAGGAGCTTTGCTTTCATGATAGATGAATGATTTATAAGAAAAGAGAGGGAATCAGGTGGGAGTCTAGTGCTGAAGAAAACAAATAGGTGTTTAAACTCAAGATTCGTACAAAGACAGTTTGGTGTTGTATGGAAACTGGGTGGGGTTTTGGTGGGAGACGTGGGTTTTGGAGGGAGCCTGTGTGTGTCCCCTGTGGATGGAAACATAGAATCACAGAATGTTTTGGGTGGGAAGGGACCCCCAGAGGTCACCCAGCCCAACCCCCCTGCAGGGAGCAGGGACACCTTGAACCACATTCTAAACCTACCCTGGTTTAGTTTAAAACCATCCCCCCTTGTCCTGTCCCAGCTGGCCCTACTAAAAAAGATTGTCCCCACCTTTCCTATCGGCCCCCTTTAGGTACTGAAAGGCCGAATCGGGTCTCCCCGCAGCCTTCTCTTCTCCAGGCTGAACACCCCCAACTCTTTCAGCCTGTCCTCATAAAAGAGGTGCTCCAGCCCTCAGATCATTTTTGTAGCCCTCCTCTGGACCCACTCCCGTGCTCCTGCTTCTCAGCTCCAGAGCCACGGGCACCCTCGTACACACTTGTCCCGTGGGACAAGTCCTTGGGACACCCCTTCCTCTATGCACATTTTATGGCTGGAGCATCCTCAAGACCTGGGGTTCTCTTTCCGGATCCAATTCTGATGCAGTGGCCAGTATCTTACTTGACTTACCGAGGCCCTTGCCTTTTCTTACCTCTAATAAGCACAATCAGCTATTAAAGTGCTAGCTGCTGTTATTATTACAACTACCTGAAAGGAGGCTGTAGCGAGGTGGGGGTGCGGCCTCTTCTCCCAGGGAATGGGCAACAAGATGAGGGGAAATGGTCTGAAGTTGTGCCAAGGCAGGTTTAGGTTGGACATTGGGAAAAATTCACTCCCTGAAAGGGTTGTCATGCACTGGAAGGGGCTGCCCAGGGAAGGGGTCGAGTCCCCACCCCTGGAGGTATTTAAAAGAAGGGTAGATGAGGTGCTTAGGGCCAGGGTTTAGGGGTGGGATGGCAGTGCTAGGTTAACGGTTGGACTTGATGATCTTAAAGGTCTTTCCCAACCTAGACGATTCTATGATTCTATGATTATGGTACACATCTTCATAGAATAGATGGGGGTTGAACTAGATGACCTCTAGGGGTCCCTTCCAACCCAAACCATTCTATGATTCTAAGAAAGGCAGGGAACTTGCTGAAGGCCATAGCGGAGGAAAGATATAGAAAAAAAGCTATTTATATTTCTGATTCTTCATCTTGATTTCAATGGGAGCAGAATAAAAATTGTGCCTAAGTCCCATGGGAGACGCAACTCTGCCCTGTGAGACTCCCAAAGTCATCGCCTGTGCCAGGGGGGATCTGCTGTTACCCGGTGGGGAGGCTGGGGGGATTTGACAGTCCCTGGTATGTGATGCCCTCTGCCAAGCAAGTACCAGCCTGGAGGTTGCATATTTAAAGATATGAACATGAAACCTGCCTTAGGGCACAAGTAGGAATCAAAGTGGTTTCATGCCGATAGAGAGAAAGCGGGAAGAATAAATTTTGGGGACCTAGGTGGCCGAAAGAAGCGCCAAAGACACTCCCTGGAGTAAGTTTGGCCTCACGCAGGTCATGGGGATGTTTAAGCCGTGGCTTCAGGGGGGGCAGGATTACTCCGGCAGCAAGAAAGCTTGAAATTGCCGGCCCCGTTTTTGGCCTTAAATCCGTGATGCATGAGATACACGATCTGTATTTGGCTCTGTATGGCAATTTTAATTTTAAAACTATCCCAGTGTCCTTAAAATCCAGGTTTTGCATGCCTCGATTTCAGCTGACAGCCCGTGCATCCCAGCAGTGCCTTGCACAGAGCCAGGCACCTTGCACTGAGCAGGTTGTCCAGGTTTTGCTCTTTGCTGGTTTACATCGTTAAAAGAGATGAAGATTTTTTTTTTTAATTTCCCGTAGAAGAGAACTGAGACATCTCAGCTGATGCATCTCGAAAGGGCAGCGCTTCAAACGCCGCTGATCCCAACGCTGCTTCTGCCAAGCGGCAGTAGCGCGGCTCCGTGTGGTGGGCAGGAGTTTCAGCAGCGATGCTTAAGAAGGGAAGTCCCTTTCTGTCAAAAAAAAAAAATGGATTTTGATTTTTTTTTTCCTCCTTCCAAGCTGGGATAAAATGTCAGGAACAACTTTTTTTTTTTTTTTTTTTTTGGAGAAAGTTGAAATACGATTTTTATTTTAGCTTGTTCAGTAACCCACCTGGAGGGCTGCTGTCAGCTTCAGGGAGTTCAAAACAAAAATAGATGAGACCCGTGGAAATGCCTGCTGTTCCCCCAGCCTGGCCACTGCTCTCTGCCCTTCAGTCTCGCTTTCTTCCTCAAACACAACATCAGACTGATGGTTCCCTGCCAGGCAGGGGCCAGGGAGCCCAGGTTTTATCATAGAATCACAGAATTGTTTAGGTTGGAAAAGACCTTGAAGATCCCCCAGCCCAACCGTTCCCCTACCCCTGCCATCCCACCCCCAAACCCTGGCCCTCAGCACCACCTCTGCCCGGCTGTTAAATCCCCCCAGGGGTGGGGACTCGACCCCTTCCCTGGGCCGCCCCCCCCCTGTATTGGGAAACTTCATGTCTATGTAACACTTTCCTACATATAAACAGAGCAAGCACACGACTTTGGTGGGACTGCCCCCCGTGCTGCCCAGCACTGAATAAACATACTGACTGTACAACCTTAAAGATTGGGGAGTCTGTTTCCGCACGTCACAGGGCTGGGGACTCGACCCCTTCCCTGGGCAGCCCCTTCCAGCCCCTGACAGCCCCAAGGGGAAGGAATTGTTCCCCATGGCCAACCTCACCCTGCCCTGGCACAACTTGAGGCCGGTGCCCCTCGTCCCATCGCCCCTTCCCTGGGAGCAGAGCCCGACCCCCACCTCACTACAACCTCCTTTCATTATTTTCCAGGACTACCAGGTTTGTAGGTATTTTTCCCAGGAAAATTTAAGTTTCTGTGTGAAAACTTTGGGGTTTTACAAAAGAGCATTCGTCATCGCAAAGTAACGTCGACAGAAAATGGCAAACCTGCTGTGACCATGAGTCCTCTTCCGGGTGCGGAGCCCATGAAATATAATGGGGGAGTTTTTAGAAAGGGTTTATGTTGGCTCTGAGGCTCCACCAAGAAGCGGTGTCTGTCTAGGAAGGGGACAGTACACTCACAACCGAAACCCAGGCAGCAAGAGTCTGTGTTTTGCCTCTAATCCCCAAATTTCACTGCAATCCCCTTTTCCACACCTACAGGTTCTCAATGGTGACTTTTGTTTCTTCTTCCAGGGCCTAACCTCCCCAAGGCTCAGGTTAAAACAGCATCCCTTGGCTTGGCAGGAAAAGCCAGGTCGCCTCTGCTGCCCGTCTCGGTGCCCACGGCCCCGGAGGTGGCAGAAGAGGGCCACAAGCAGACGGAGGACTCCGCAAACGTAAGACCCATCTTTCAGAGCCAACCTCCTTGCACGCCTCATCACCGTTGAGTTATACTCTCTAATCCCCCAGCTGCATATTAATTTTTCGATAACGATCGGTCCCTCCTTACCTAAGGTATTACGCTGCAGCTGAGAGCTATTAGCAAGTTAGTAAAAAATTCTGGCAACCGGTAAAACTTTGCCGTTGACTTTAATGGGCTTTGGCATGCACGACACAGGGGAGAAGCGAGCGCTTCAATTCTGTGTTAATATTATCCACGGGACACCTCGCGAAGCCTCTCCTGAGCGCCCTGAGATATAGGGAGAAGAGAAAGAGGGGGGGGGAGAAGTGTGATAAGGGAAGAAAACAATTTTGGCAGGAAAAATGAGGGTGTAGTAATACCAGGTCATCGTGAGAAAAATAACATTGAAGAAGGAGGTGCCACTGAAAAGGTGGTGAAATTAGAATAATCTGTGCCCTCCTCTTAAGATTCCCTTAGAGAAAGGTCTCACAATGCAGAAGATGAAAAAATAAATCTATTAAATACATGTTCATGTAAATATACCTCTTTCCATCTTGCATGGGAGAGTTTTTTGCTAGGCACTAGGCCAGCGTCTTCTTCGCGAATCCTTTTTATGTTTTCAACCTGGCTAAAGGGAAAGAAAAAAGATTTGCTTTACACACCCGTATGGAGGGCTCGGGGCTGCTGCCTGGTGAACCCAGGACACCAGCGTTTGACTCCGCTTGTCATTTCTCAGCGGTGTTAAAAAAAAGGATTCCCAGGTTTTGCTGGGAAAAGAGGATGCGGGGTGATGTGAGAAGATGTGGAATCTCCTACTGGAACAGGAACGGGAAGGAAAATGCCCTCTGTGGTAAAATTGCTGGCATAAGGGGTGATTTAACACAGGACTTTTGATAACACCAAGAGCAATTTCAGCTCTCGGTGCCGTAATTTAGCATAGTGGCACCTTCCAGCTCTCAGGAGAGACGCTGCTCGAGCTCCACAAGTGGGGGGGCCCTTACAAGCAATACTGGTGCAGGGAACAACCTCATCGGGTGGGCAGAACTTGGGGACAAAAGCTAAAATTTGGGGAATTTTTTTTTTTTTTTTAAGCTTGACTCTGCAGGTGCTGCCTGCTCCATCCCACCTCGAGGCCTCCAGGGCTTATACAGCACTTTCAGATATTTTCCTTGGAGAAACGCACACAAATAACTAATGTTTGGGCTCCCTCTCGGTGTCTGAAAGCAGAGGATCGCTCCTCTTGCTCTTGCCTTGGTTATTTTTGAGGTCAGTGGTTCCCAAGAATAGGTGCTGGTAATTTCAGGTGTTGCTGCAGATTCTCACTTGACCATACCCCAAAGGCTTTCTTTCTTCCAGCCCAGTTAGGCACCTCTGGAAACTGTTCCCAGGCCTCTGCTCCCACGAAAAGCGATGGTGGCAATTCCCAACCACGAGCGAGGGCAGAGAAGTTCAGCTAATTGCAGAACGAACTGTTGCAGGGCATGTTTCAATGAGGATTTGATGTCTTTGTTGGGTGCTAAAAAATGTTGTCATGGTCCCCCCCCAAGCATGGACATATGTAACGTAAGGGAGGGAGTGGGGGAAATGGGGACTCGGGGAACGGTCATTAATATTTAATATTGCTCTAGCATGGTCACCCCTGGTTTTCAGCTCATGTGTTGAGCTCCGAGAGGCTTTGCTATCCAGCCTTAAGCATCAGCCCATCCTTGAACGCTCCAGGTCCTTGAGGACTGTGCAGGGAAGATGACCCAGTCGGGGGGCCCTGGGAGGTCCCTGCCACGGGCCACGTCCCGGGTTACATGAGAGGGGCTTCGGTACCCATCCTGCTGCCCACTTAGCTGTGTGTTTGTTCACTTGCAGGTTTATGAGCAGGATGATCTGAGCGAACAGATGGCCAGTTTGGAGGGGCTAATGAAGCAACTCAATGCTATCACGGGCTCAGCCTTCTAACAGCTCTTGAGGAAGCGATAATTATCCCGGAGCATTGCAGCATACCAGGATTTCACTCATACCACCCACCTACACCACCCCACAAAATCATCTCGTTCCTGGTACCGCTCCTTCGGTGCAAGGAAGATACCTGCAACGTCCTAATAGGAACGATAAAAAGAAACAAAAGGAAAGAATGATAATGGAAATGTTACTGAACTGTAGGTCTGGCATCCAAAGCGATGACAGCGTGGCAAGGCGAATGACGTCGCCAGCGCGGGAGTCGTAGCTGATGCCACCGGAGGGCTCATTTTGATCTCCTAGTCTTCGTAGAGCTCAAGTTGTCATGACTAACTCATGTTTTACTCCGTAGAGGTTTGTAGCTCTTTGTATAGATCTAGTCTTACCTCATGCAAGTATGTTTTGAAACATAGACCATGCCGTTAACGAGACAGTGTTGTAGGTCACTCGTTTGGGTTTTGTTTGGTTTTTTTGTTTTGGTTTTTCTTTTTTTTTAAATACGTAATTACTGACTACAAAAGCACTCATAGCAAATAATCACACCGCCACACCAAAAATCTGGAAGTTTTTCCCAACAGCACAAAGCGAAAAGACAAATTGCTAATTCCCGTCGGCGCCTCCGTCACTCGCCTCGCACGGGCGGTGGGGATTAGCGAGTTGCTGTCACGTTCAGCCACGTTGTTAGCAACCGTTTGTAAATCCTCCCGTAGTTGATGTTTTATGTACGGCAAACAGAGAACCAGGAATGTAGAGAGAAAAAAAAAAAAAAGAAGAAAAAAAAAAAAATCTGCATTGGTGGCCTGCTGCCAGCCAGCCAGTGTCCACCTGCAAGAAGAGGACACAATATGCAATCTTCTCCGGCACGTAGGCGTTACGTGCTTAAGCGTGTCATAAACTACGTCTGCGTACGGGTGGCTTTTGCGCCAGACCGCCCCGCGATGACATCGGGAAGCGCGGCTGGGGCCACCACAGAGAGAAAAACGAAGTTTCCCCGAGCCTTCCCCATCCACCCTGCGTCCCCCGGGATGGCTCCCATCCGAGGACCCCGCCACCCGGGATGGTGATGGGTGGAGGATGACGAGGGTGAAGGGGCAGCAAGCGCTTCCCGGGGGCAAGACGCAAGCCTGGGGGAAGAACCGGCCAGTAAACAACTGGTAAATTAATTAGGAGGGCTTTTCCACAAGCTTGATACCTTCCGGTTGCGATGGGCAGCGCTCCGTGAGACCAGCGAGCGAAGAGCGGGGAGCAGCAGGACACCGGGAAGCATCTTCAGGGATTCCCTCTCCCTCTTGTCCTCATGCTTCAGCTGCGCGTTACAGTGTTTATTGACAACGATAGCTGGTTGAATTGGCTAAATTTTGTGTGCATACTTTTTATTGCTAAATTTTCAGCTGCATTCAGCGTTAATCCCTGTTTATGCAGCTGAAGCACCAAAAGGGAGCTGATTTGCATATTTATCAGTTCGGAGGCTGCAAAACCCAATAAGAGAGTTTCAGATGAATTATTCCATTCAGCTCTGCCTTTGATTTCAAGCTTGAGTGGGTCATAATTTTAAAAGAGCATGGAAAGGATAGGATCTTTACAACCTAATAGCTCCTTTTATTAGGTGGGTAATTATATGTGAATCTCCGAATAAAATATTTTGAGTAAAATGGCACTGCAACAGAAGTAATAATTCAGATTATTTTCTATGGCCCTGTGCTAGAAAGGGGATCAGATGTTAAGGAGGAATTCAAATGCTTCATTAGGAACTCCAGCGTGTTTGTGAAAATGCTCCTTTAAAAAAAAATGCCTGGTTATTCAATTTACTAAGATTTTAATGAAATATTGAGAGAGAGAGAGAGAGGAAATCTTGTTTGCATGGGAGGCTGAGCTTCCCAGTTCTGAAAGGTTCGTAACCAAAAACCTCTGCTGAAAGCAAAACACACAGACCTTGCCCGATGAAAACCCAGCTCAGCTGTTAGAACCTAGAAAATCGCTACCTCCGTTTGAACTCGAAGAAAGAAGGCTTAAGGCAGCTTTCGAGTAGCTCCCCGTCCACGTTTGCGGAGATTGACGGTGTTGAAATAGGAACAGAAGGTCGCATCAGTCTCTCACTTACCAGTTACGAAATATCCCTTACCCTGGATTTGCAGCAGAAAGCTGGGAACAGAAACTGCCCCCAGCGCCTTTAAAGAGCAGCGCTGCACCTTTTTTTTAATGGTGGGATATTAATCCAGGACCAAGTGTAGGAAAAAAAAAAATCCCAAATTGCCTCAAATAAGACGAGCCACAGAGAGGTTTGCAAGTTGGATTTTTTTTGTTGGTTGGTTTGGACAAGAGCGTTGTAGCATCCAAGCGCTTCAGTATCCATCAGCCTCGTCGTTTTGCTCGGGCGCCTCTCTGCAACGGCAACGCTAAGCTGGGTCTGAAGGTTGATCTGGTGCTCCCATGCATGCCAGAGCCATTCTGTGCCGTCTGAAGCCTCTCTCGTTTAGGCTCAGCCCATTTAAACCAATAACCCTTGCAGACCAAGGCCAAGTCCTCGTGCACTCCATCCATAGGAAGGAACAACTCCATCAGCTCAGCCCAAGCAAGTCACAGCCGCTCCCCTACCCCCTTTTTTAATAAATTAGCAAGGAATTTCTGCTTCAATTTAAGTTCAGCATTGGTCAGCAGAACTAAGTTCCATATAAGCACGGAGGCTTTGGGTAGGTTTTAGGGGGTTTGGTTTGGGTTTTTTTCAATTTTCCTTGACTTGACTGCCAAAAAAGGGCCGTACCCTTCACCTCCCCTGCGGCACGTGACGCTCAGCTGGGGTGTCGTTGCCCTAAAAAGCCCTGGAGACATTTCCACCCTTCATTCGAGGATGATTTAGTCCTCACTAATTAGTAAGCAGACATTTCTTTTAAAATGTCACCTTATGTGTGAACTACATAACTTGCAAAACTCATCTGAGTGTTTTAGCCTAAATCTTCCACGTTGTGTTTTGCTGATGCTCTGTTTGCAGTGAGCTTGGCCGAGAATTTCGTTGGATTTGGACAAATGCCTCAAGTGTCAGAATATTTATAGCCTGTGACTATCGCAGCTATGGACACGCCCAGAAAAATGTAATGAGAAACCTGTCAATGCATAACGGGCTTGTGAGGCACGATGTCGCCGTGGAAGATGATCATGAGCTAATCGATACAACAGGGCTGCCATAAACAGGTGGGGGGAAAAAAAATCAGGTGCCAAAAAAAGATATATTTTTTATTTTCTTCCCCTCCCCCCCTTTTTCTTTATGTGCTCCAAGACCTAAAGATGGAGCAAAATCAAAGGTTGAAAAGGCTGAGCGCTCCCTAGCTCAGCATCCTTGTGGACTTCTTAGATGTTCACTTCTGGGGAAAAGGTTTGGGCCCGTTGAGAAGCTCTTCAATTTTTTGACAGGGGGAGGATAATCTGCTTGTCGTTCTTGCATATCACCTTGATTTGGGTCATGATTTGGGGCTGGACGTCGATGCTGCCAAAATTTTGCCGTACGGTTTGTGGTGTCACTTCTCAGGGAGTGAGGACCATCGTGTCCCCTATACTGGTGTTTGTGCACCTTCACGTTTGGGTTAACTGGTAATTCCCCATGGAAAGGCAGCCAGAAATTGGAGCAGCACAGCGATAGTCATGTAGCTCCCAGCAGGACTGCCAACTCCAGAGTTTCCCAATGCTTCCAAGGTTGATCCTTGCTCTCCCCACGGCGCCCAGCCCACAGCCAGTGGCAACGTCCCAGTGAGCTCTGGCAGATTTGCACTGGTAGTGATGGAATTGGCAGCCACCAGGCTCCCATACCCCTTGGGACCTTGTCTGCCTGATGGTTCTGCCGCGAAGGGGCTGTTCCTTGCATCGCCGCTCCTCGAACCTCTTCTTTTAGCAGCTTAGGTTGGTTTTTTTTTTACAGGAGCATCTTTTCACCAACCCATTCCCCAAGCCAGCTCCTTTGAAAACTGGCTTAGGTAGGGCTGCTACACGTCTGGCTCCCTTCCCTCCTTGACATGTTCAAAGCCTTGATGATGTTTTAAAACATTTCTCCAGAGCTTCTGGATGGGTTTGCAGTGCGTGCTCGCTTGCTCTTGACCTCTTCTGCCAAAACACACAGTGCAACCCAGAAAACCCCAGGCCAAACGATGGCAGCGCTCGGTCACACGTGGAAGGATGGGAGTGAGTTGAGGGTGAGGCCACCCCTACGTCCTTCCAACCCTTGGGAAGCCTCAGACATTTTCTCCTGCCCAGGCGGAGCTGATGGTGTCATTCCTGCCCTAGCTCAACCCAAGGTCCCTTCCCGGGGCACCCTCTGAACTGGCACCCAATGCTGAATCCTGCAAATCCACGCGCAGACGCTCGCCCATGCTGCCGTCAGCCGGTGGGAAGCAGAAGGCAGCGGAACCACGACCCCCTTGGCCTCATTTCCAAAATGGATTCCTAGAAGCTGGATGGAAGAAGGTGGTTTGTTTTGGGTTTTTTTTTAACAAAAAATGGCGGCTTCGTAGGTGGTCAGAGATTGTTTTTCCTGTCGGCTTTGTTTCCCCGTGTCCCCGTTACTGCTCGGTGTCCTGTCTGGTGTTGAACTGAGTTCTTGGAGGCTCCATGACGGATCGCTGCTCCACCAAAACTTCATCAACTCCTTCTGAAAAATTAATTTAAATATCTGATTAAAAGACAGGTAGATGGAGGGAGGATAAGGGAGGAGGTTGATTTGTTTTAAGGGGAGAACAGGTTTACGGATGCCTCTGGTTCTGCCGCCTGGTAGGTGTAGCCTGTCTCTACAGTGAAGATGGATCCAAATGGCTCCTCTACCCTACAGGAGGCCAGATTCGTGTCTGGATCTCGCTACTGTCCTTTGTTATCACAAGAGGTCAAAACTGCTCTTCCTGGCAGTCCATACTGGCCTCTGCTGCTCCAGATTTCGTTTAATATTTTATACTCCTTATTTTTAACACACTGTAGTGGTCAGTACCAGGGGAAATTAGGTTTCCTTTGCTTTCCGTAAC